CTGTGCTGTGCTCTCTGCCAAGTCGCCCTGTGGGAAAGGAAGGGGCTGCCATTGGTATCCATGCTGGGGGGCATGGATTGAGGGAGGGGGCATGGATTGAGGGAGGGGGGCATGGGGGTCACAGCAAGAGGAAGCAGACAAGCAGGGCACGTACCTCAGGGAAACTGGATGCCCCCAGTCCTTCTCCATCCTCCTTGGCAGCGCTGGCTCCCTCCCCTGTGAGCACACGCTCCTGGTGAGCCCAGTTGGGGCGTCCAGGTGGGGGTCAGACCCGGCCAGGGTATTCATGAGGGGTCACTGCCCTCCTGGGACCCACCCACCACTCACCCAGCACCTCATCCAGCTCCGCTGGCCGCTCCAGAGTGTCCAAGAAATCGTTGGAGCTCCACTTGGTCATCTCCTTGGTAAAGACCTCGTCACTGTCAGACAGGTCTTCTGCAGTGGCAGGGAGGAAGTCATGAGTGGGGAGCCCACCAAGGTGTCCCCCCCACCAGACCAGGTGCTTCCAGTCCCCCCCAAGCTGGCACCTGACCCTCCCCCACCAGCAAAAGGCTGAGTTGTACCGTGGGCATCAAAAAACTCCTCTTCAGAGCTGTTCTCGGAGTCACGGGCAATGTTCTGCATCCGCCACTCAGACAGGCTCTGAGGAGACACCCCCCCTGCCACCAGTGTGGGGTCAGCACCCAAAGCCCCCCTGCAACAAAACCCCACTCCTGCCCCACAGCTTTGCCCTCCTCTTGCACCCAGAGCCCCCCTCAGGAGACCCAGGGCCAAGTCTGAGGCAGCAAGAGCCCTCTAAGAGACCCAGAACCACCCCTAGAGCACCCTGAGCCCCCCTCAGAACCCAGAGCCACCCCCAGGTCTCTGAGAGCCACCCTCAAGAGAGCCATGGCCAACCCCGGTGCACCCAGAGCCCTCACAGAAGATCCAGGGCCAACTCTGGGCACCCAGAGTCCCTCTGAAGACCCAGTGCTACCCACAAGCACCCGGAGTCGCCCCCAACATGTCTCCTATAGAGAAAGGCAGCCCCTAGGAGAAGTTAGGGGTCCCCATCCAACCCACATAGGACCTGGTCTCTCACCTCCATGCTGGGAAGAGTAGGAGGAACGGGAGGAGGTTGACCACTGCTTGGCAAAAGCATCATCAGGGGAGGCATCGGCCACCTCTGGCACCTCGGTCCCCTCCTGCCCACTGGTCTCCCCTGGCTCCAGCCTCCCCTGGGCACTGGGCCCAGCGCTGGGGGGTTCCTCAGGCTCCCCACATTTGGCCATCTTCTTGGCCAACATCCTGGCTGTCTCCTCCTCCAGCTGCCGGATGTCTTCCATCGTCAGGTCCGTCCACTCATCCTGCCAGCACCAAGCCTGGCGATGGGCCCGCAGCATCACCTTTCGCAGTCCTGCCATGGGGGGGGAAGAGCCCAGCATGACCCCGGGGCTCCCCCCAAAAATAAACACCTTCCCTCCCAACCCTCACCCCTTCCTGAGGTGGCTCAGCAGGCAGAGTTTCATTTATCCTCTCCAATCAAGAAGAGGTTGAAAAGCTCATCGGGTGTTGACGAAGTGCCGGTGGCCTCTGAGGAGCTGGTGTTTGAGGCTGTGACAAACTGGGTGAAACTCAGGGCTGGCTGCTGCACTCACCCACGTCATGGATGAACTGCTCAATCTTGGATTGCATCCCCCAGTAGCGAAACTCCACCTTGCAGAGCTTGTAGGCACACATCAAGGGGCCACCAGCAGCTGCCTCCAGCCAGTCGTCCCCCAAGGGACCCCGGCCCGTCTTGGTCGAGTGGTAGAGCTTGGGATCCTCCTCAGGCTTGTATTCCCCAGGGGAGATGGGATCACGCACGATGTCAATGGTGTCTGTGGGGGGGAGGGAAGGTGGCTCATCACAAATGGGACGGAGGCACCAAAAAAATCAGATAAATAATCCCCAAGAGCCACCTGCCCGACAGCTGGTAGCAAACACTCCCCATCCCCATGGCTGGAATACCAAAGGTGCCCTTGGGTGCATCCCAACAGATCCTGTCCCTGAGTGGGGGCTTGGGTGGGGAGGGGGCTGGGGGGCAGCAGAGTGTGTGGAGAGCCAGGGCTGACACACATATATAAGCAAGCATCAGCTGGGAGATCTGGCAGCTGGGAGAGCAGCCCCTGTGACCCTGGGGGGGGTGTGGGGGCTGGTGCTGAGGACAGCTGGATCAAGCACCCAGGTGGTGACCTGCCCCCCACCCCCCAAAACTCAATGGTGCCCCCGAAATGGGGCATGGAGCTCAGCAAAACCACCTGGGAAGAGCTTCCACGGAGCCAGGGGGGTGTGATGGCAATGTCCCACTCACCTCTCTCCCCACATGGGGGTGGCCTCCCCAAAACTGGAGGGGGGCTCATGGATGGCACCCAGGAAAACATGATCCAACAGACCCTGGGGGGGCCATTTGGGCCCAACCCTGCACAAAGTCTCCTATTTGGCTGCTCCAGGCCAGCTCACTCCAGCCCTATCTCAGGGAGTCCTTGGTGGGGGAGGGGGTCCAGGGCACCCCACTGGTCCCCAGGACCTTCCTCAGCCAGTCCCTAGACCCTGCATTTCTTTTCCCCCGTTGATGGCCCCCCCGAGGTGCCCCTTGGCCTCTTCCTCCAGCTCAGACTGAGAAGAAAGGGGGAAAAAAGGGACTTAAAAAGCAAGAGACAGCATGAAAAACACACCGAGGAGTAGACAAGCAGCCCTATGGTGTCTCTGTGGTGTGGTGAGAGAGGCCAAGAGGCCACCCCAGGGCTGGCACAGTTGTGGGGGCAGTCGGGGACAGCCCCATGTCTCCCCCAGTTATCCCTGTGTGAAGAGCAAAGCACCTTGGCAGCCACCTCATGGAAGCCAGAGATCCTCCAAGCCCACAAAAACACCCCTGCCCAGCCCTGGCCAGGGCAGCGAGGCAACCACGAGCCCTTCAATCAGTAGCCAAGGGGCTGGGCAAGCAGCTTTCCAGGGAGCAGCTCCAGGAGCTGGGACACAACCCCCAGCAGCTCCCACCAGCCTAGTCAGGTCTGTTTGTTTTCACCACAGCGAGAAAATCAGCAGCATTTGCTCCGCTGACCTTTGAAAGGTGAGATGGGGTTTCAATCCAGGACAGGCTGGGGGGAGGAGGAAGAGCAAGAGCTGGCTCAGAAAATCCCAGTGGGATCAGTCCCACCTTGGCCCTGCTCCCTCTGGGAGGCAGCAGCCCCGAGGAAAGCCCAGGGGATGGGCACAGGAGGGGAAAACCAGGCAGAGCAGCGGGCACAGGGCTGTGCCCTGCTGGGTATCCCGCTCATCCCATTTGTCCCCCCTGGCCCAAAGCTCCAGCATCCCAGCCGGACATCCCCGATGCCACCAGAGCCAATGAGAGAAATAGGTCAGATGAATCATTTCCTCCAGTGCCTATTTTAGGCCTCCATTTTAAGAGGCAGCGCGTCACGCTCTGCACTCCAGGCCTAAAAACGACCGGATCGGCACCGTTGGGAAGGGAGGACACAACAGGCAGGGAGAAATCCCACCCCCAGCTCCCAGCTCTGCCTCCTGGTCTCCCCGTGAAGGAGTGGAGGGGCCTGGATCTGGAGCGAAGCCCCCGGGAGCCAGGGAAGCAGGGCAAGGGCTGGGAAAATGGAGCGTGATTTTCCAGCTCCCCCCACTCCCCAGTGCCCTGCAGAGGCTTGGTGTGGGTTCCCACGTACACCTGGAGAGGGGTTGGGAAGGCAAAGCCATGCCAGATGGCATGGGACAGGGGCTGGGACAGGAAAACAGGCTTGGCAGCAGGAAGAGAAAGGCTGGAAACAAATACACAAGCAAGGGAAGAGGATAGGGAGTAAAACTGCCCCCCAAAACATGGTTAATGCGGAGTCTAACTTAGAAGCATTGCCAAGGGAATGGGCAGGGAGCTCAGGGCAGGGAACTCAGGGTACAGGAGCCTTCCCCTACCAGGGTTCCCCCCACAGCTGCTCCCAAAGAGAGCACAGCACTGCAGACACTGAGCCCCAGATGGGAAGCTGAGCCTCTCCAGTGCCATGGCACACTACAGCACCCAGCTCAGGGAATGCCAGGAATCGGGTCCTGCCCGGCACCCCGAGCCAGCCTCACGCACCCAAAATCCTCTGCCTCTTCTCAGCTGCACTCAGGTTGAAGATGTTGGTCTGCTGGCCAGCATCTGGCCGGTAATATGTCTCAATCTCGATGGAGAACTTCTCCACAAAGGGACAGGTGTACCTGGGGGGACACAGAGGGGGCAGGGCTGAGCCCCACAGCATGGCCAGACCCCCCTCCTGCAGCCCACCCCAGGGCCTCGCCGGCTCCTACCTGGTGCGGGTGTAGGGATAAGCATTCCAGGATTCTTCTTCTACCTGCAGGGCAGCTTTGGGGAGCAGTGCCCGGAACCAGCTGGAGCATGGCCAGACCCCCCTCCTGCAGCCCACCCCAGGGCCTCGCCGGCTCCTACCTGGTGCGGGTGTAGGGATAAGCATTCCAGGATTCTTCTTCTACCTGCAGGGCAGCTTTGGGGAGCAGTGCCCGGAACCAGCAGGATCTCCCCCCCGCTGCCCTCGCCGCTCGACTCCTCCCGGCTCTTCTTCTGCAGGGGGAGGTGCTGGGTGAACACCAGGCCCCCCCAGTGCCCCCGAATCCCCACATTCACAGCCCCTCGGGGTCCCTGGATCCCCCCACGTCCCATGTGCTTACACCCTCAGCCCCACACCTATTCCCGGGACCCCCTTCGCTTGGCTCAGCAGCCCCAAACCCACCAAACCTCACTGACATCCCAATCCCTTGGGGTCAGCATCAAGCCCCCCCCACATGCCCTCCCCAGGCTCTGTGCTCAGCCCCACAGACCCCTGCACCCCCCATATGCTCAACCCCACTGCCTCCTGCGCCCCCCGAGGCTCTATTATCAGCCTTA